GGAAGAGAGAGAGAAAGGAAGAGAGAGAGAGAAAGGAAGAGAGAGAGAGAAAGGAAGAGAGAGAGAGAAAGGAAGAGAGAGAGAGAGGAGAGAGAGAAAGAGAGAGAGAGAGAGAGAGAGAGAGAGAAGAGAGAGAGAGAATGAGAGAGAGAGAGAGAGAGAGAGAGGGGGGAGGGAGGAGGGAGGAAAAGAGAGAGAAAGGAAGAGAGAGTGAGAGAGAAAGGAAGAGAGAGAGAAAGAGAAAGAGAGAGCGAGAGGGAGAGAAGACGATAAAGAAAAGATGAAATAGAAAACTAAGTCCCTCTCATAATTAAATAACTCTTTCTTCTATCCTACCAAAACTGGTAATATAAAAAAACGTAATAAGAAACTATTAGTCATTCTTATAACCAATTTGACACTATAAGATAGCGATGATAGATAAATAAAAAAGACAAGGAAAAAGAGCCATGCATCATCCACATTCAGCGAGTAGGACCAAAAACAACATTTTCAGGCAAAGAATAACATCTGCCTGAGAAATAAGATAAAAAAGACTAGAAAGAAAAAGAAATGGCAAGGGGATAGAAAGAAAGAGAGAAGAAAAAGAAGAAAAAGAGACTCGATGATCGAAAGAAAATAGTTTTAGGAAACCAGGCCAGCGGAAAGGGAATTTCTTCATCTGAATCGGCGAATGTTTCATCATTAATCTTGTCTTTGCGAGGCGAAATTCTCTATGAAACGCAAATTTAATTAATTAAAATTTGAATGTTAATGATTAATTATGTCGTTGCGAATTCAGATCTAATTAGGGCGCTTGGATTAATGAGTCAGGGTGAATTTAGAAGATTATCTAATATTCTTTCCCTTCCAATCCTTGCTGATGAAGTAACTGTTTTTGGAACGCTTTTGCAAAACGATCTTGAGCAGGTGAGCGTGCATGTTGCACCGACACCTTCAGCAGGCGGCGCAGCACTCGGGCAGACGACACGCGAGGTGCCTGGCAGAGGCTGGCCCGGGGTGGGGGGAGGGGCTTGTGGGCGCTGGGTAGGGGGGGAAGGCAGGGGGGCAGTGGTTAGGGTACGGGTGTGGGGCAGTGGGGGGTAACTTAGGTGGGTAGCAAGGGGAAAGGGTAGCGAGGGATTTGAGAGAAAGGGGAAGAGAGACGAGAAAGAAGGAGGAGGAGAAAGAGAAGAAAATGGAGGAAAAGGTTGACGAAAAGGAGGTTAGAGGGAAAGGGAGGGAAATAGAGATGGGAAAGGAGGGTCAGACGGATTGGAGAAGGGAAAGGTAGAGAGAGGAAAGGAAAAGGGTTTAGGGGGAAGACGGAGAGGGAGAGAAAGAGAGAAAGAGTTAGAAGGAGAGGGAGAAAAGGAGAGAAATTTAGAGGGAGAGGGAGAGGAAAGAGAAAGAGTGAGAGGGATTGGGAGGTAATAGAAGACATGTCCGCCATGCTCGCCCGGGAATTAGTTTTCGTATTCATTAGGCTAATTGTCGTCGGCGCTTGATAGTCCGCGGTCATGAGTACTTAGCTAATGCAAATACGGCGGCGGCAGGAAATGAGAGGGGCGGCCGCGAGGGTTTATTTTCTTCCTCTTAATAGGAAAAGAGCTGATTCCGCTCATACGAAAATCAGCTTGCGTGAAAGCCTAAGATAATTCATGCCCGGCAGATAATTCATGCAGGAAGTGGAGCACACTTTTCTGCCTATAAAACGTCGGATGAAGGGAGGAAAGGGGGACTTCGGAAGACTCTAAACATAAAAAGCAAAAGTAAAAGAAATTTATCGATGCTTCCGCGCACCTTGCCCTCGAAGCGGGTCGACCTCGACGGCGCTCGAGGCCCAGCGCTAGATGAGAGTTTATTGAAGGGGCGACTCGTACGTCACTCCGGAATCGAGGTCTCGCACGACGCGGCGGCAGGAGGTTACTTACGGCAGCAGCGGCGGAGGCGGCAGGGGAATAGTGCGCGTGAATATGGGTGGCGTGTGATGGATGATTCCCACGCCCTCCCGCAAGAACGTGCGGCCGCAAAATCACCTTCGCGTACCTCCCTCTCCGGCCAGCCATTCATTGGCAGGGCGGCGCCCGAGCTCGCCGGTGAGCCCCTGTGACGTCATGAGGAGCTCTTGAGGAGGGGCGGGAGTGACAAGAAGAGTGGCGCGGATAACGAAGGAATGCGTCGCCTTCAAGTCTACTTATCTCGCCTCTTTCATTTTACCAAAGAATTGCGTCTTATCCTTTTTTTATTATTCTTTTCGCCTTTACTTTTTTTTTCTTTTCTTTTTTTAGAAATATAATTTTTGCAATATACACGCTCTGCAAAATCAGTCGATTGGGTTATAGTCTCCGCGTGCGTCCATCTCCCCGGCGTATCGGACTCCCTGGAGAGGCGAGCATTATCAGCGTGGATGTTTCCCGCCCTTTTTACAAGCTTTCTGTCTCGCATATCAGGTCTGACTCACACCAGCAAATTGGAGTACGAGTCTTGGGGGGCGGAGGCAGAGGGCGGAGGGCGGAGGGGAGGGAGCAGAGAGCGGGGACGGAGGCGGGAGGAGCAGGAGCGGGGAGCACGAGGAGGAGCAGAGAGGGAGGGGGGTGGAGGCGCGGAGGGAGCAGAGAGCGGGTACATAGGGCGGAGACAGGACGTGACAAACGCCTTCATACTCTCATGCGACAAGTTCTACCTTGTGCTGCTTATAACTAATCAAAAGTTTTTATACCTCTTGACTGATGACTCATAGTACTCCTGGAGATTTTTTCTTTCTTTCTTTCACTAGAGCTGCAACTCCCATATACCTTTCGATTCAAAGAATAGCTATTTCTCTTCCGATTGTAATTTTCCCTAGAAATAAGCGAAAATCAAAGGTGAATAGATATAGATATCAACTTCATCGTTAAGAGCATCATGTCACGAAGATAAGTCTTGATGAATCATTCGCGCTCTCTCGCATGGTGTCTGACTATTACACTATCATTTTACACAACCCTCTGCAACATCTCGGGTAACGTGCAACATCGCTCTGCTAGACTCATTCACTAAGGAGCTCGTCAGTCGCTCCCTGGGAACCGACCAGTGCACTATACCCTTCTCCCCCTCTCCCCCTCCCCCGAGTAAAAGAATCGATAAATAGTTAACAAATAGATTAATAAAAAGTAAGGTTCAATGAAAATAACTCCCTCAAAAAAATAAAAAATAAAAAAATAAATAAATAAAAAAATAAAAATAAGAAAAAAAAATAAATAAATAAAAATAAATCTACAAACAAATATACAAATAGAAACGAATTAAAATGAAATGAATACCCCCCTGAAAAAAATTATAAATCTATGAACAAATATACAAAGAACTAAGATAAAATGAAAAGAATACCCCCCCTCCCGGAAAAATGGTCCTAAATCCATAAACAACCCCCCCCCCAAAAAAAAAAAAAAAAAAAAAATCAGCGAGTCGGTAATATCGGAATTGTGCTCCGTTGCCAAATCTCTTCCTGATTTTTTCTCGTATTTATCCTTGGGCAATAACGTGTTCAGGCAAAAAGTCATATTCCTGGATTACATGCTATAGAGCTGGACTGCAATTTTGTGAAAACGAGGTCTTAGATAATTTCTCTTTAGTGCTGACTCTCCATTATTATTATTATTGTTATTTATTATTATATTATTATTATATTATTTATTATTATTATTATTATTATTATTATTATTATTATTATTATTATTATTATTATTATTATTATTATTATTAATGTTGTTGTTGTTGTTGTTATCATTACTATGATCATTATTTTTGTTGTTATTGATATTGTTGTTATCACTTATTATTGTTATTATCATTATTATTATTGTTATTGTTTGTTATTATTATTATTATTATTATTTATTATTGTTGTTGTTGTTATTGTTATTGTTATTATTATTATTGTCATTATCATTATTATCATCATCATATTTTTTGTGATCATTATTACCATGATTATCATTATTCTTTTTATTATGTTTATGATTATTGTTATGATTTTTATTGTTATTATTATTATTATTATTATTGTTGTTGTTGTTGTTGTTTTTATTATTATATTATTATTATTTATTGTTATTGTTATTATTGTTATTTATTATTATTATTATTATTATTATTTATTATTATTATATTATTATTATTATTATTATTATTATTATTATTATATTGTTATTATTATTATTATTATTATTATTATTTATAACCATTGTTATTTTTATCATTATCATTGTTATTATTATCTTTATCATCATCATCATCATCATTATCATGAGCATCAGCATCAGCAGCAAGATCATAATCATAATTGTTATTGTTATTATTACTATCCTCATTTTATCATCATTAGTATTACTATTCTTATATTACAATTGTTATTATTATTAAAATTTTGGGTTGGGAATGGGAGTAACATACGGTGAAAGAATATATTTAAATTTCATTTCAGCAAAAATAATTGAGGGAAACCGACCGTCAATCCAAACATGAGTTTTCAAAAGGAAAAATCCTATCCCTATCTATACTTATTTCGTCTTAATCACTCGAGCTTCCCGCACCTCCCGCTCGACCTCACACTTCGCGGACAACGTTTAGCTAAAACCCGCTAAATCCCACGCAACATCTGCTACAGCCGAGTCCCTCTCCCGCCCACTCTCACCCGGCCGCCCGCTCACTTTCACCCACCTGCCCGCCCGCACGCCCATCCGTGGCCATGAATATCGCACAAGGAGAACGTTGCATACGCAATGGCTCGGAATCTTCCAGTCGGCGCCGTATTTGCGACGCGGCGACGTCTTGCGGGTCGAGTGTCTGCGTTCCCTGTCGCGAAGAGTAGACGGGAAGAGGGCTTGGAGGCGACCGAGACAGAGGGAGATGATTGCGGATGGAATGGGTATTAGTCTTGGATATACATGCTGTGTTCCAGAATTCTAGCGCGACTAGAGATTGAGCCGGAATGGGCACTAGAGGGACTGTGTGCACAGCAGACAATGCATGGTGGTTCAGGTGGTTCAGAGTTTCCTGTAGTCAGAATCACAGGCTTGTATTATCGCTGCCTTGTTTCGTATCCAGTATTCCTTCATATAAACTCTAAAAAATCCAAATAAAACGTATATCTTACTGTCGAGACTCGAAATTATCCCTATAAACAAAGATCCAAGGAACTGTTGAAAAGAGCAGTTGAGCAAGCATAGACAAATTCCTCCTCACTTAGGCTGATATCCTCACACTTGGACATATTAGTCAGCCACCCTCAGGATCACATTATATTTCCACACGCCCCGAAATTAACATTATGCCTCCTCCCTACCAAAGCCAGATCTGCAGTATTGCCGCCATACAAACAGACTGTAAAATGTAAATGCATTAAGGGGCAAACCGGGGCATATATTAGCCTTGACGACTACCAAGTGACCATTTGTTGGATCTGCATATTGTACGCGCTCATGGGAATGCAGGAAGAGGGGAGGGGAGGGAGGGAAAGGGGGTATGGCGGCGAGGAGGTTGGGGATTTCCGTGCGACGTGGTGGTGGTGGGTGTTGGAAATGTTGGTACTGCCGGTATAACGATTTCGTCTCAGTGGTTGAGAGAGATGAATGTAGAGCTCATGATCGTGACTGGAATGCTGTTAGTGACTATAGTGACTGTCAATATACTTAAGTAACTGCAAATATACTTAGGGCGTTGGCTTCAAGTGCATAAAGGACAGCGCTTCTAACCGCATGAACTGCCGAGAGACTACTCGTCAAAGACCAAGATTTGGCAGGAGAAGAAGCGCGAGGGAAGACCACTTGCCGTCATTCCCGCTGGCTCGAGGCGTGTATCAGGAGAGAAGTCGAGAAAAGTCAAAACAAAAATCCCTGTTTATCTTGCTGAAAGATAGGAGAGGGAAAGGAGCGCAAAACTTGGCAGTTCAAGAGTGA